GTTTAGGGCAATAAGCGGGATTAAAGAAAGTCTAAGTGAAGCGAACGGAACGGAATGGCCTCCCACCCCCTACCGAGCAGCGTCCGGCTGCTTCGGCTCCCGGCTCCCCCACAACCCTACCTACACTCCCTTCTCTTCCGGGGGCGAAGACAGAATAGGGAGAGGTAGAGGAATCGGATGAGGATGTGGGAGCAAAGCAAAACTATGGCGTAAAAAAAAGCGTTGCGCAGACCCTGAGAACGCGCCGGAGGGAGAAGTTGGCTGGTAGGGAGAGCAGCCTGCTCGCTTTCCCTTTGCTCCCCTGGCGTGTCCGGCGTGTCCGGCCCGTCCGGCCCAGCCCAGCCCAGGGACGCCAACAGGTGGGCCATGCCGAGCCGGCTGGGGTCCCCGGGCTGCCATCTGTGGCGGGCCGGGCCGGGCAGGGGCAGGACAAACAGAGAGCATATTGGGCTGCACTGGGGGAAAGAGACGTGCACGGGGGGCGGGGGGCCTGACTGCAGAGTGAAGCATCTCCAAGGAACGGGTCACAATTAGGTCAAAAAAGGCATTGGGATAATCGTGAGGTCTCGGGTATACACACTCCTGGATTAGAGAAAGATTCTATAAGACAACTATTAGTTCACTTAAAATTTCATAATCGCTTTCTTTCGAGTGATGATGTGTTTTGTTACAGGTGGAGCTGACAGACCTCGATGAGGACAAGCGCACATGGAGCCAGTACCAGCCGGGCTGGGGCAAGCGCTCATGGGACGCCATGGGCGGCGGCTGGGGCAAGCGGGCCGGGAGTGACGAGGTCGAACAGGAAGAGGGTGAGGAAGAGGAGGAAGAGGACGCAGACGTTGACAAGAGAGGATGGAACAACATGGCGGGAGGGTTCGGTAAACGGGGGTGGAACAATATGGCAGGTGGGTTCGGTAAACGGGGGTGGAACAACATGGCAGGTGGATTCGGAAAACGGGGTTGGAATAATATGGCGGGGGGATTCGGGAAACGGGGATGGAATAATATGGCAGGCGGGTTCGGGAAACGGGGATGGAACAATATGAACGGTGGATTTGGCAAAAGAGCGTGGGATAACATGGCGGGAGGGTTCGGAAAACGTGGCTGGGACAGTATGGCCGGGGGATTCGGGAAACGAGGATGGGACAGCATGTCAGGAGGATTTGGAAAAAGAGCTTGGGACAATATGGCTGGTGGCTTCGGCAAGAGAGGCTGGGATAGTATGAACGGTGGATTCGGCAAACGATCTTGGGATAGCATGGCGGGAGGATTTGGAAAAAGAGCATGGGACAAGATGGCAGGTGGTTTCGGCAAAAGGGGTTGGGACAGTATGAACAGCGGGTTTGGAAAACGCTCTTGGGATAGTATGAATAGTGGGTTTGGAAAACGGGCATGGGATAACATGGCAGGCGGATTCGGCAAAAGAGGATGGGACAGCATGAATAGTGGATTTGGTAAACGCTCTTGGGATAGTATGAACAGTGGGTTTGGAAAGCGGGCATGGGACAAAATGGCAGGAGGCTTTGGAAAACGATCATGGGACAGTATGAACAGTGGATTTGGCAAACGGGCATGGGATAGCATGAACGGTGGATTTGGAAAACGTGGTTGGGATAGTATGAACAGTGGATTTGGGAAACGTGGTTGGGATAGTATGAACAGTGGATTTGG